TTACCCTTGTTCTCATTCTGTTTATGTGAAGTGGTAATAACACTCCTGTGAGTCAGAGAGTATTATGTGGATAACCTGTGCAGACATAGCTAATTGAACACAAGCATCTCATCTGAAGCATGTGAAAGCAAGACATGAGTTTTTGGAAATGCTGGATTGAGGTTTTCCTTCTCCCCTTTCCTGCTATTCAAATACTTAAATTTTCCTGAGAGAGGATTACTTTAATAAAAGCAAAACCTTTCTAATTTAAGGATCCTAACTAGAAATGTGTGAATTCAACTGAATAAGTCAAAACTGACAAAATAATACTTTATGGTGGAGATTTTGCAATTTAAATGTGGAATGCTGTTGCAACATGAGTTTCTTGAACTTTGTGCTATGAAGAGTTCAGCACATACTACATGTTTATGTACGTGATAAGAATTTTATGACTAAATAACTTCTTGTTCCCTGATGATTTTTGAAGAAAGGAAGAGTATTCTGAGGTCCAAGACACAGGCTAGCTGTTGCCCATTTGAAGAGAAATGGGGATAGTAGGGGAGGGAGATTTTTTCCTTATGGATTATTTTACAGCAAAGTTTATTCCTGCAGCACAACTGTTGACAGATGCAGAATAGCTCATTAATTGCCAGTTAGATTGTTCCATGAGTACGTAATGGTTTTGTGAAAACAAAACTCATTTTACATGATGCCTGCATGCTTATATGCTGTGATGCTCATCTCTTCAGTGCCCAAAGAAACCAGTGGAAGTTTGTTGCAGATATTTCAGAATCTTTGCAATTTCTCAGAGAGTACAAGCCCTGTAGTGCACACAGCCTAGTTAAACACTTTGTTTCATCCTGGGCTTAAGGAAAGGCTGGTTTCTACCCTACCTTTTGGAACCATCTCGGGACTTGTTCGAGAAGGTTGAAGGGGAAAGGTATTTAGCAATTAGACTACCCCTCTCTTATGAGAGGCTGCTAGGTATGGTTTATGTCAGTGGGTTAAATGGTGACGACAAACGTGGTTAGACGAGTAACTGCGCACTTCCCTTACCAGGCCATCTGCAGAGAGCTAAGGCGGCTCTCATGAAACGTTCAGTGTCAAAAATGGCTGAGCTCCCTTCGGATCTGCCCTGCCCATTGAGCTGAGTAGCTCTTCCCCTACACGCACCCCACATATGAGAAGGGCTCATTCAAAGCACTTAAAAGTTTCACGGAGCGAATACTTTGTCAGCACAAAACTATTTTGTGAAAATGGACTTCTGAGTCCTAAGTTGTTGCTAATATTGCTTAACAAGTTTGCTTGAAGCAAGCAGGCTTCCCTGCAGCTCTGCGGGATGGTCTCGTGTCCAGGTTAATGGAATGTGTAGCACGGGTGTTGGTGGGAGCCTTGAGTCTGACTTGACTCCAAAGGATCTGAGGGTAGAACAGACCGTTTGACTAATCCAGCATGTTCTTTGCTTGTCGGCTTGTTTGCTGAAGTGGAAGTGTTTGTAACGTTTGCTGGGCCTTTTTCTCTGAATTCCATAATTCAGTTCTTTCTGTACTGGGAAGGTTCGCTTACCATTTAGCTTCTACCAGATGTATAATGGCACCACAAAATAAGCTTCTCCATATCTGTCTCTTTCCAGTATAATTACTAATAATCTTTTAATTTCCTGCCATGCTGTGTACTTTTTAGCTCATTCCTAGTGCCTTGTTTCACTATGGCTGTTCATTTACCTATCGGACTCTTGCAGAGGAGTGCACTTTCTGTACATTAAGTTGTTCCTGCAGTCAGGTTGCATGGTATCAGTTGGTTTCCTGAACTCCAAATGCAGGACATATTTTGAATTTCTTATGCAGTTGCTTAATAACTCGCTCTATAAAACATTGACAAACAAAGCTTACTAAACCATGGTGTCTGTTGCAGGGCTATACAGTCTAGTTTATATACTGCAAGGTTAATTTTCCAGCCTACATGGTTCAAGAAATGGTGCTCCTGTCACCCAGATTCTGCTCTGTGCACTAAATTGCCTCAGGTGAATGAAATAGAAAAGAAGGAAATGAATGAAGGTTATAATGTCAAATCCTGAGAAGCAATTCTCTTTGGACTTGCCTGTCTGTAATTGGAAAGCCTGGGTAAAAAATCTGAATGGTTAAGGATCTATCTCAATTGCTTCTTTGGAAGGATTGTTCATCCTTCAATTGCTTTTTGAAGTACTCTTTAAAAATGCAGACTTAAACCAGACTGCAGTGACTAACTGTAATTGTGGATTTTTTGTTTTGTCCAACTATATGCACCAGAAAGTGATGGTATGATTAGGCTTGGTGTTAGGTTTTAAGGCTTTCTTGTAATTCAGTAGTAATATGTAGGATAAGTGGAAATAATTAAAGGGGTTCTGCTTTTTCCTATTTAAATGAAACCTTAAAACTCGCATCAGAAATGATGCTTTGAGGTACGTTTGGACCTTGGCAAAATTATTCTTTGATGTTGGACTTAATATTATAAAAACAATTAAAAAGAGACACTTTGCACTTTCCAATTTTATGATACTACTTTTGCTGGGAGCTGTCTAATATTTATTTGAAAAACATATGGTCATGAAACCTAATGTGCCAGTTCCTACTGAGTTTATTCTTTCCTTCATTAGTCAAATACAGGCGTTGAATTGTTCTCGTATTTCATTTATATGTTTTACTGCAACACGGCTGTGTTCTGGGGCAAGCCAGCACAGCCTGTGGTGACAGAGAAGCCTGCACTGTGCAGCCACTTGGCTGCCTTGACAGACAGGATGTTCTGCTGGCTTTGGGAAGAAGGTTGTTTGTGTGCTGAGGAAGAATCAGGAAACTTCTCCATTGTTTCTGTAAAGATGCTTAAAGTCTACATTTTTTCTCCCCCTTTTTAAGCATGTTTTTTTAGAAGTTGAGATACAGTGATATTGCCAAAGATACTTCACCGGAATTGCACAATAAGCAAGTTGGATCAATACTTTGTCCCAGTTGTATTTCTGGCAATGTTTTGTGCCAAGAATAAAGAGCATATTTATCTATCCCTGATCAAGAGAGTGTATTTCAAATTTAATCTTCAACTTGGAACATGACATTCTAAACGTTTTGTTGCTTTTTAGGCATATACTAGCCCAAACTGGCAGTAATCAACAAAAAACTATAAAATAGTATGGGAATTCCAAAGTAGATTTGGATATTTATTCCCATTCTCATTCATTAGCTATCAGGTTTCTTCATTTGACAATATTGCCTTCAGGAATTGCAAGAAACTTTGCTTTACGGGCAATGGTAGTAGATCCAAAGTCAGGGGATAAAATATTGGAATAGAATAAGAGCAAGGAATTAACTATTGTGTAGTTTGTTTCACAGAACAGCTTGCATAGCTTTGTGGCTTCTGTGAAAGGGAATTGCTCTTTGCGATTATTTTATTCGCTTTTGTAATGGGATTTTATCTGGAGATTTTGAGTGGTGAAGAGATTTAAGCAGTGTTGAAGTGGAGAAGGATTATCTAGTTAGTAACAAGCAAAGCTCATCTTAAACTTAATGCTTTTGTATTTTAAACATCTGAAGGTAACACATTGCTGATGCAGTTTTTCAGTTTAAGAACTGAAATTAAAAATATCTGTAACCACATATGTAAATCTTCTGGGACTCCTTATTTACTATCTCTTGGACTGAGAGCTCTTGACCTTTAAGACTTTGAATCAAAGGTAAACCAAGAACTCTCCAGGGGAAATGTGAAATATGGGTGTTTTCTTTCCAATGTCTGCCGCAGGATTCACGACTTGGTGACTTAGTTTCACTTGTGCAAAAGATAGATTATTGTCCTATTTATGATATTTGAATAGTGAGTCACTATTTCAATAGTGAAGGCAGTGCTTCTGCCTTCTGCTTCTGGTGGAGGCAGTCTGGAGACTGCAGTGCCTTCTGCTCTGCTGTCCCTGCCTGTGTGTGGCCTGCCCTCTAGAGACAAATGCTCTGCTGTATTGTGAAATCACACGGTAGTCTGATTAAGATAAAAAACTTGGTTTACATCTCATTCATAACCTGTGAAGTAGCCAGTGCAGTTACACATGACTTAAATAACACATATAGTTGAAGCTTCGTTTCTTTCATCTGTCCCGTCCAGTTCTTTCAGCAACATTTTTTTCTTTTGGTTGTCTTTTCCCGATGAAGAAGTGAACAGGATTCCTGTTGTTGCATAAGCTTTGCCTCAGTTTTTGGAACCTCCATCAAAACAGTCTCATTCCTTGCTTTCTCTTGGAAATCCCATGTATGGGAGGAACTCATAGGGTACTCTCAGGTGTCCTGAAGATTGTCAGCATCATTTCTCTATTTGCCGCCGTCTGGACCTTCCAGAAACCTTTAAAAATTGAAGGCAATGTTGCCCTCTTTGATTCATACTCAAATATTTTGTTTATTTTTAGAGATGGTAGATGCTCTTGTGTTTGACTAGCTAGTGAACTGGCTTCAAAGACATAAACCTTTTCCTGCCTTTTCCCTTCTTCTCTTCAGTGACTCACTTTCATCAGCTGTATGAATCAGTATATTTAATAAACATGTATATAAACATTTAAATATGAGCAAGAGTAGTTAATTACTGCATCTTCATGGAGACCATATAGAAACAGTAATTGGCTTGAGGTTATTAATGTTCACTATCAGATAAAAGCTGTTTTTGTTGCAGTTATTTGCCTTTTTTATAGTCATCAAGGAGACAGAACAAACACACTTCTTTACAGGACCCTTGGTTGTTTTCAGAACTGTTCACTTGATGATCAAACTTTACACAAAAGGTTTGTAGTTGCTACTTGATGTTGGGATCAATTTAAGAACTGGGTAACTGCTGAATCAAGAGACACATGCTGTTTGTCAGCATCTGCTGTTGGATGCAAGTGATGACTCCTGTCTAGAAAAGAAAAGGTGGGGGGAGTGTTTGCGTTTTGCCGAAAGACAACTTTATTTCCCTGCAGGCTGTGCAGTGCTGCAAGTGAAAGGGACTGAACTGTCTGCTCTCTTCTCTTCCAGGCTATCGTTTTACTCTGGCCATTCTTCGTTCTCCATGTACTGCATGCTGTTCCTAGCAGTAAGTATGTGCTTCCTGTCTGGTTGGCAACAAATGTCCAAGTTATCTAATGCAAAAATGAAGTATTTGCTACAGCAGCAGTTTCTGGGGCTATTTTGTGCAAAGGACACTGCTTCAACAGGATGCGTGTCTCAGAGATAGGTGAAGACTGTTCCTTAGTCACCACCTATAAGAGAAAGGCACTGATACTGGGGTCAGAAGTGGCAGGATTTGTGCAGTATACTTAAAATATTTCATATAGTAGTTGGCTTCTCTGTCTTACTTGAGTTGGACTCGGTGACAGTGGGTTTGCAAAATACACTGCTACTGAAAATTTGCTACATTGAAAGTATTGTAAGCTGTATAAAAATGTGTAATAAGATATGTCTGACTTAATGAAATCTGCAAAGCTTATAAAGAAACTAAAAAAAAAAAAAAACCTATCCTAACATGGGTGGTCCTGTAAGAACAAAATGACAGATCAGAATTAATTTTAAACTGTTTTTAATTGATTCCTCATCCTGGAGACAGGAGAAGGGGGATCGGTCTGTAGAAACAACTACAAGTGAGAAGACATTTCACCAGTAATTACTGTGTATGAGGATTTGACTAAATTGTATCAGACTCCAAGCTAAGCAGCCTGAGTTTTTGTAAGCCATCTAGGGCCAATTATCCCCATTCCTAGAATAAACTTTTTAACACTAGAGGATTGAGTTGGTTATACTCTCCCTGCTAATGTGTAATATGGAAAGTATTAAACAGTCTTGTTGTTATGGAGTTGTGAAATGTGAAAGTTCTTGTTCTGAGTGTAATTTGTTGAGAGTCTTCAGACAGCTTGTATCCAATTCACATTTGTCTTGACTGTATTTTTCATACTGTTTCTCTTTTGGCAATAGCGTAAGATCCACAGGAGAAGAGATTATTCCAAATTATTTTTCTTTTTAAACAATGATATTTTTCAGGATGCCAGAAATGTTTGTACTTGAGGGTTTTTTTTTTTTTTTCCTCCGGGGGGGGGGGGGAGAGGTGTATCTTTTGGGGGTCTTTGTTTGTTTGTTTGCTTGTTTTGTCCAGAAAAGCTGTTTGGTTTTCTTTTGAAAAGTTCAGTATTCAGTGAACTGCAGCATTTTTTATAGCTCATTGGTTTACTTCCCCTCTCCTCGCTTACCTGTTGTCTTTTTTCAACTGTAAATTCCAATTCTATCATTTTGTCAGCTGTGTCTTTTTTCTGGAGTTTTGGCTCATGGATTAAAACCACTGTTTCTACAGTACTGTGAAGCAGTTGTTACAGAGCAACCTAGTACTGTTTTGCCCTGTTCGGCACAATGATGTATCTCTGAACTAACCTGTCTGTGCATGGGCTTGAGCAATGTGAGAATGTGGCACTGCTGCCTCTGAGCTCAACTGGCGAGAGGAGAGACCTTACTTAGGTGCCTGGCTGTGCTTTCTACTGCCTGGATTAGTCCCTTGGCAGGGCTTTGCATCTCCGTTTACCAGGAAAATGTTCATGGGCCAAGAGGAGGAGTTGGAGAAGACGCTGGAACGCTGATCCCCGTCACACGTGTGTAACGAGAGCCCCTGCCTGCTGCTCTGGCAGCCTGGGGGGCGGCTGCGGCCAGGAGGCTTCTCGGCCAGGCAGGGGCGAGCGAAGGGACTTCTCTGCTGACTCCAGTCCTCCCCTCTGCCCCCTGCCCGCTGCTTGCCATAAGACTGAGTTTACCTTTAGCTGCAGTGTGGACGGGCTAATGGGAGTTGTGCTGAACACCTTCATCCGCAGACCTTGTTTGTTTAGTCTGTTAGGAGTTTAAAAAAAATGCAGTCTTTGGCAAGAAAATCAAGGGATTTGCTTTATGTAAAGATAGTATTTTTTTTCTTTGTGGGCGAATAATCTTTGTGCTGCTGCCTGTGGCATGTTTTGGAAGGGGCTTGCCCGGAGGGTTCCCGCACACTAGCTGGCTTTTCAGGAGCAAGTAAGCAAGTGCCTATATGGATTTTGACAAACTTGCCCAACTAACATTAGAATACAAGTGTCATACAAGAGTCATAGCTTTAAAAGTGTATTAGGGAGATGCAAAGGATGCAAAAAGTATGCATCTTTGTCAAGATAGACCTCACCATCTGATTTTGCTTTTAATTTTTGAAAATATGTAAAGTTTACCACTAGCTCTTTATATAATTTCTTTCTCCTGGTTTACTAATGGCAATTATGTCAGCAAACTGCAAAGTCGAAAATTTCATGCTTGAAAACTACTTGTGCAGTAGAACTTAGAAAAGTACAAAGTAAAAATTGGAGTCAAGGTACACGCAGATGTCTGGGGGGTGGATGCTGTGCACTTTGCAACCTCCTGTGCGTGGGGAAAGGTGAGATGGGGGATGCAAATCTATCCTCTCCTTCCTTGTAATGCCAGTAAGTCCAGGGCTAGTGTTGATCCCTGTTTAGCAATGTAATCAAGCTTGCTATGGCTCTGCCTACTGCTACAGAAACAGTCCCTGCATCTCTTCAGGACTGCAGCAATTGCAAGATAACGTGACTTAACTTCAGCCACCTTAAACAGTAAGGGTACAAAAGTATTTGGCTCTTTTAGAACATTTGTTATACAATGAGGGGTTTGTTGGAGATCATTTTTAGTCAGACATGATGGAAAGACCTTACAGACACTGGAGAAAGCAGTCTCAAAATGACAAGCAACTGAGCAGCAGACTAATCCAGACTGTTCTGAAAACCTGGGCCAGATCTGTGTAGCCTGATGTCCTACTCTGTGGTGGCTGGTACTGCCGGCAGGTGCAAGGCCCCCTCTCCTGTAACCCTCAGGTTTCTACCAGTGATGTGCTCAGAAACCGAAGCCGCTGAGTGACAGAGGTGGCCTTGCCAAAGGAGGCATCGAGGTGGTGAGCTGAGCACTCAGACAGGGTCTCGTCTCGGTGAGCGCCTCTTGGTGTGACACCAAGCTCTGCGGGGAGTGGGCCAAGCAGAAGGGGAGCTCCCTCTCCCTCTTGCTCCACCTGAGCCTCTTGCCTTCTCCTGAGTTGTTGCCCAGTGAAAATGATACGTGGCCTTGAGGAGACTGAACTCTGCTTTCCGCTCTTC